GGGGGGTTAATAGATGCTTTCATTTTAACACTGCACTGAGTTGGTTTATAGTTAATTAATTAGTTTTATTTTAACAATAGGCCATAAGTGAAGTGATGCCAAGTAAAAGGAATAATGTTGGAAAAGGTTACACGCAAATAAACTTAATCTAGAAAGAGTAAGGTGTTGTTCAAGATGGTTTCTCTCAGGACCTTCCACAAAAGCACAAGGACCTGGTTTCCCTTGTCTTCCTAGGTAAACCTGTGATGGGTCAGATCACAGAAACCCCCTTGGGAGCTGCCACCCGATGTGCAAGACTACCCTTGCTCCTGTTTTTCCTGCCAGCTCAGGACTCCAGCACCCTGTCTTGCTGAGCCAGACACTCCCGTCTGCTCCAACGCAGACCCAGGGTCTGAATCACTTGTCCCAAAGCTGCAAGTTTACCTGAAAACAGCTCACAGAAGTGTGCTTGTCTTTAGCACTCAGATGCCCAACTCCCAATGGGGTCTAAACCCAGATAAATCCGTTTTACCCTGTATAAAGCTTATGCAGGGCAAACTCAAATTGTTCGCCCTCTATAACACTGATAGAAAGATATGCACAGTTGTTTGCTCCCCCAGGTATTAATACGTACTCTGAGTAAATTACTAAATAAAAAGTGACTTTATTAAATACAGAAAATAGGATTTAAGTGGTTCCAAGTAGTAACAGACAGAACAAAGTAAGTCACCAAGCAAAATGAAATAAAATGCGCAAATCTATGTCTAATAGATTGTGCCCAGGCCTGGAAGGTGTTCAGCCTGAGAAAAAACTTACTAAAGCATCTGGTATCCCTGGATTAGAATCCTCTCTCTTTCCTACCCTGCCATTCCCTTGGTAGGTACAGGAAGGGAATCTAAATTGGTGCTCTGATGGGAGGCGTGTTGAGCAGACAGCAAGGGAAGGGAAGTAAAAGGATTCATAGCTGTCGTCCCAGCAACTTTACAACCACCGGCTGCATCCTGTTCAACCCCTCTCTTCCCTTCATGGAGGTAAAATGTTCAGGAGATCCACACTATTGTGGAGAGGGCAGTGTCGGAAGGAATGGGGGATGCAGTGAGGAAAGCTGGTCTGGTGTGGGCTTAAACCTCAAGGTAAAGGAATAAAAAATACACAGGGCACTAGATAAAGAGCTATAATAAAGGTAGGCTAAATTCTGGAGGTCTTTACTCAGTCTAACTCCTAGTGAGGTGGATTGAGCCCAGCGAAAGGGGAACAAAAGTGAACTCAAAAGACAACACATACCCCCCAGGAGGGAAAAGCTGTAATAGAGAACAGAAGGATGGAGTTAGACCGAAACAAGCAGAAACAAAGATTTTAATTTAGAGAAAACACAGTGAGGGAACTATTCATCCTAGGAAGAAAAAGAGATCAAAATCAAGCCAACAGAACAAATTCTAAAAAACATTTTATGAATCCAGTTGTTGTAAGATGAGGTCCTGGAACGTAAGTCCTTGTATCAGAGGCCTGGTATGAAACTTAAGGCCTGAACTAAAGTAATGGTCAAGACTTTGCTAACATAAAGCAAAGTTAAGCTGTGAGCAAGAGGCAGGCCCTGCTCACAGAATCTGGCATGAAGAGGGCTGATGCTGCAAAAACACACATATCTAAAAGTTACTGGGCACAAGTGATGTAAACATATGCCAGGATGGTACCAGAACACTCCAGCACAAGCACATTCCAGATAGATAACAAGGAAAAGGCTGACCCATCCTAAAGATGGGCAGGAGGGTAATATGATAGAGTTGTTTTTGTTGGAACCAACATGTACAAGGTGAGAGGCGGCACCCTAACACGTAGAGGGGTTGTACCTCAATACGGCGGGAGTGATGTGTAACTTGTTTGTACCGGTGTATAAAAGTGTACCCCTGAGGAGTTGTCTTTGTCCGGCCTACGGGGCAGTGGAGAGTCCCGCCACTGACTGAGCCGGTCTATTGGCAGGGGGCACATATTCGTAGTATGTCCTGTAGAGTCTGCGGGAAACTATTACTGTGCTTCGTTTGATAATAAACCTGGCTGGGTGCCTTCGTACCTTATCTGAGTTTGTGGTCATTGGGGGTTCTCTTGGGGTCTGCGGTGTCCGCTATCCGTGCAGAGCCAGGGCAGCACACAGAGGGAACGCACACACGCAGCCAACTGTTATCAACATTGAACAGAGCAGAGCACAACACCGGTGACGTCTGATGACATTGGTGACCTCGACCGCTGATCTGGTGAGTAAGTGAGCTGTCCGCTGTAGGAATCGCGATCTAACATGACAGAAAACCACGAGCTAGGGAACCCCGTTATCCCCTCCCTTCAAATCCCCACAGAGTTTGATAACTCGTGGACCCGCTGGGTTGCTAGCAAAAGAGGTCCATATGAATTTTAAAAATACAGCGGGGAAGAAACATGGAATTAAATTTGTAAGGCTAGGGCAGAAACTGTAGCCTTGAAATGTAAAATATTGCAAACTATAACCATGGCTGTTAAATGGTTAAGACAACATGCCACAAAATTGGGGCAAGTAACAGAAACAAAGGAAGTGTTAAAAGAATCAGAAGATGCTACAAAGCCCTGGACTGCTCTCACTCTCCTTGCAGGGTGGCAAGCAGTCCACAGACAGCAAGCAGGGTCTGAGCTTCTTTTTATAGTTCGAGCACATTGTAGGAGAAACAGGAATCCAATAATAAAGGTAAAAAGACTGACTTATGCCTTGAGACTGGAATCAGCATACCTGCCAAAGCCATCTGTCCCATCTGCACTTCCTTCTAACACCAGAGTGTTATTGTGTGTGACAGTAACTGCAAGGAAATGTTATTGGCTTCAGTTTTCTAAGGAGTTCTACTTTAAATATAAAGGATAGCCTAGCACCTCAGAAAGGGAAATACTTGAGAAAAGGCGACAGCACGCAGAGATGTAGTTAGATTGTGTGTAACAAAATGGCAGTGTTTTTCTGAAACATCTTTCCCAGGCTGCAGGTCTTAATTCTGCTGAGAAGGGGTTAAGTGGGTTCTTCTGACTCAGAGGCAGGTGACTAACTACCCTACCTGTGTATAAGGGTGGTGGGAGGGGCTCCCTGCCTGTAGAAGATTGTGGCAGGATAGTCCTTAGGTAAGAGCCCTATGAACACCCAATTCTGGAGAAAATAGCTTATTCTGGGCTTTGTTAGTAAAGCCAATCCAGGGAGAGGGGGAGTGAGTGTGTTTAGACAGCATGTGGATTTTGTTTTAAATGTAGTTTGGGAAGAATGCCTGTTTGCAGTGAGTAACATAATGATGTGTCTGTTAAGAAACTGTATTTTCCTTAATTGCTTGCTTCTCACTCCTCTATCTGAAATCTACTGTCAGTAAGAAATGTACTGTAAGATTGCTTTTGATGTGTACAATCTATGATAGCATAAAAACTACTATATTTAAGGGAGAACTTGGCTTTCTGATTTAAGAAGACCCCTCTATTTGGCTGCTTGTAGGCTCTACTACAAGGTGTGGGATGTCTATCCATTGAAGTGTCCTCAAAATGAGAGGTATTTTTATGAGCTTAAAAAAAAACATTTAAAACTGTCAATTTTGGCATGATCTTATAGTAAATTAAATATCTGAGAAACTTTAGTGACAGGCACAACTTTGGAAAGTGAAAATAAAAGGCGTGCACAAGTGCCATCCTTGAAGGCTTTGAAAAAGAAACCGGTGCTAATATAAGCCTAGCAACTCCCCTGCAGTGGGATTTGAATGAGAACAAACAAGGCTCATCTTTATAGGAATGTACCTTGCACATATTACTATAGATTAAGGAGGAATAACCGTGCAGGGGAAAGAATCTGAATAAAGGATTTTGTCAAGGCAATCAAAAGACGAGAACTCTGCTCATTCCACAGGCCTTTTAGTTCCTGGAATTACTCAGACTGGACCTTTGTGCTCTAATCTTTGTACTCGGATAAACTTAGACCCAAGGCTTTTTTTTAATATGTTTTTTAAATTGAGTGATTGGGTTTCTTTTTGTTAATCAGGTACTTGGGTCTTGAAAGTTGCTCTTTTCCGATCTAGAAGCAGGTCTGGTGGAATTTTCAAAGCCTACTAAGATTTGGAGTTGAATATTGAGATGGTCAAGTTTAAAAAAAAAGGGGGGGGGGCAAAAAACCAAAACACAACACCCCATATTCTCCAAATAGTAGGATTATTAATATTTGGCTGATGGATAGCCATGTTGCTCATCATTGGCCATCTGCTACTAGCCTCGAGATATGGGCCCAAACCAAAACCCTGGAGCCAAACATGCCTGAACTTTATGGAAGTCTGATTCAAATCCAAACTGCAGAGCTGGTCTTTATGGAATGAATTAAGCCTAACCCTGCCTCCCTGTACCACCCCTACCCCCGCCAAACCGGCTTTCTCCCAAAATACATTTTGGACCTATAAATGCATAGACAACACTTCCTTTGTTCTGTGGAATCCTGTACTCTTAACTGGCTTAGTGGGCACTTTTAGAGAGAGAGAGAGAGAGAGAGAGAGGACAAATCACTGGACCTGAATCCTCAAGCCACTATTGTGGGACGTACTTTGACTTAAGCCAGTTTTTCCTTAGGAGGACTCCTGAGGATAAGTATACTCATTACATTGCATGGATATACTGACCACTATACTCATGCAGGGCACCCCCAGAAAAGGTCTGCAACCTGATTCCTGCAGAGATCCATCACAGTCTAAATAGAGCCCCCCTTTTTTTGTTTTTTTGTTTAAAGCACTGCACAGATTCTGCTATTGCTGTTGAAAGAGCTCTTGCCAAGCATACAATGAGCCTTGCTTTTACCTCAGAAATGGCCAGTGTTCTAATGCTTAAAGAAGATAAGATACCATCTGAACAGTTCTGTTAAGGCTTGTGTTAAGTTGGGATTTCTCTCTCAATATTAGAGTTCAGGAAGTTACCTGAAGCCAATCTGCTCTTTTATGCCACTTTGACATCTCTCTGCACCATCTGTCATGCATTTGCAATCTATTGTCAGAATGGAATACATCTGGTACTGGTTGGATGGATCTGGGCAGTGGATTGAATATGGGAAACAGGTGAGCTTGTGTTCGACTGACACCCAACACTCTGAGCCATTCTAGATGTCACACAGATGTTCTCTCAGTGCTCTCTATGTGCACAGGTGTATTACTGTATTCTCAGGTGTGCCTCTGTTTTAGTTGTTCCTCAATATTTCATTAATACTCCATAGAAGCTTCTGAGGAATAGCTCTAAAAAATGGTGTATTTGTCTAGGGCTGGTCATATAATTTTGGTCAAAAACTGTTTTTCAGCTAAACAAATTGTGCCATGAAAGGCATTGGGTTTCCAAGGAAAATATTGATATTTCACTTTGATTCAAAATGACACCTTGGGAGTTATCGTTTGAGTGTTCCCATTCTCACTGTGGGCTGGGCTTTCTGGATGTACTACATCTACTAAGATGCGCCTCTTCCTCCCCACCAAAAGAGGAGAGAACGGGGCATCACCAGTGATGTAGTCTGGCCAGACAGCCTAATCCATAGAACAAAATGGGAGTATAAGGCACCCAAACTACAACTCCCAGGAGGCACAGCAACGCCCCTTTGAATCAAAATTTTTGCTGAAAAGTCGAAATCTTCTGCAGAAAATTAAGGAAAACAAACAAACGATTTTTGTGAAAGGTTTCTTCCCTCTGGAAAATTCTTTTGATCTGCTCTAGTATTTTCTGTTACACGGCCCCATTTCCAGTTACTGCATTCAGAAAAGATTCTGCCTTCTCGTATCCTTTCAACTTTGCTTTGCACTGTAGCTCTATGGAAATCCTAAGGCTTGTAGTCCAACTGCCCTTTTTTCTATAAAGTGCTTTCAATCTCCTCTGAACATGGTGGATCTATAGCTGTGCTATATCCACTAATCTGTCACAGTGGACTTATAGCTGGTCCTATTGGAACTCTGTGCAGGACCAAAGAAAGGGAGAGTTTAATGGTGTTTCTCAGGAATAGTGTTGGCATTTGTAAGCACCGTTTCAATCAAAATTTGTAACAGATCTTCAGATGATGCCTCTTTGAGTGAGTCCTATTTGGCTCCTCTTGAGTAAATCCTTTCCATCTCTTGTGCACTAACTCAACATTAAATCAGACTAATAGTCATTGAGCAGAGCTAAATACTCTTCTTCCAATGGTAGGAGGAAGCATGCCAAACTGACCTAATTTAACACTATCATTGACTTAATAAAAATGAATAGATTATAGGCTAACCTCTGCTCTGTTGCATGCATACAATGCCATTGAAGCCAAAGGTCCATTTGTAATGGGTGTAATTTTCCCATGCTCTCATTCTATAGTATGCAAATTATTGTGCTGCCACGGTAACTTCTGCGGATCTGGAGGCGGCATTTCTAGCGGACCGAAAAGGCACTGTATTGTTTCACGCTGGTTCTCAGCAGTATGAGATAAACTTTCAAGGTAAGGTACCTGCTTGTTTAAAGTTTAACACATTACAACATGATTGACTTAAACATAGCTTCCTTCGTGCAAAGTCTCTCCAGATGTTCTCTGCTGACAAACAGACTAGTGAGTGAACTCTCTATGAACTCTGGGACAGCTACTCTCATGCAAGAACAAAGGGAAAAGTAAAAGAGGAGAACTGAACCTTAAAACATGGTGAAGATGCGAAGACCAGTGGATAGTCTTGCAGACTCATTATGGTGAGAGAAGGCATAAAGGATGCAGCCAGGGTAGAAGCCAGTTGCTTGGACTAAGGTGAAAATGAACAGTAAATCCAGAGAGATCTTTGTGTTTGTAAAAAGAACAGGAGTACTTGTGGCACCTTAGAGACTAACAAATTTATTTGAGCATAAGCTTTCATGGGCTACAGCCCACTTCATCGGATGCATAGAATGGAACATATAATAAGAGTATATATATATATATGTATATACATATACACACACATGCAGAGAAAATGCCATACTAGCTCTAAGAGGCTAATTAATTAAGATGACCTATTATCAGTAGGAAAAAAACTTTTGTAGTGATAATCAAGATGGTCAATTACAGACAGTTGACAAGAGGTTAAGGATCGTTATCCTAAGGAAATCGATTCAAGTAGTGTAATGACTCAGCCATTCCCAGTCTCTATTCAAGCCAGAGTTAATGGTATCTAATTTGCAAATCAATTTAAGCTCAGCAGTTTTTGTTTGTGACATAGATATAATATTGTGAAATAAATTAAAAGTTCAACTGGCTTTCCAATGTCTCAAAAGTATTTGGTATCTGACACATGAATAAAAAAGGTGTGTGGCTCCCAAAAATTCATGTGTACATAGAACACCACAAGTGACATAGTCTGTGTTTCACTACAAAGGTGGTAGTGGTGTTATAATGCTTTATCTGTGAGATCAGTACAGGATCAAAAAACCAGCAAACAAGGGGGAAGCTTTTGTTTAAACCCTAAGGAGCAATCCCGTACTGCCAGGAAGAATGCACTAGCTAGATGACTTAATGCATCTTCCTCTTTTAGTCCGTATAATTCCATAAGCAGAAACCTAGATGGTAAGAGGAATTGCAGGAAAACTGATGATGGTGATATAGCACTACATCTAGTCAGATTTCCCCCATAAAGTCCTAATGACAGTGAGATAGAAGAACTGGAAATGGGTCAGAATAACAAAAAGGGCTTCAAGTAGGAGTAGGACAGGTGAAAGAGTGACCCCAACCTGTGAAGCATTGAAGGCCAGGGTAGGAGCAATACATAGTTGTACTATATCTTTATTTAAATAAGCAGAGTTCCCGGGTAGTGAAGTTTCTTTAACTCCTGCCATGTTAAATTTTTTCTTTCTTTCAAGATATGGTCCAGATAAACTTGCACTATCAAACTCGGAGAAAAGTCTGTAGGTGGCCAAAGTTTGTGTTCTTCGGCGGTGGAGGCAAGAGTGAGAGAAGGTACTGGCGAGTGTGTTGACCACTTACTTTTTCATTTTATTGCCAAACAGTGCCTTACACGGAGTGTCAGTTCATAGGGAAACCTCTGGCATACGATAGTTTGGGTTAATGCTAGGCTGTGTTGTGGATGTGATGGTGAGTGTAGGTTCCCCAGCACCTCCAGGATGTAGGTTTTGATAGCGCTCTGTGGCGACTGATGGCTTGCAGGTAGCTGGAGGAGTTGTGTACTCTTTGCTACTATTGGTAACACTAAAAGAACAAGAGTACTTGTGGCACCTTAGAGACTAACAAATTTATTAGAGCATAAGCTTTCGTGGACTACAGCCCACTTCTTCGGACGCATATATGTCTCTGTTGCTTGAGAAAGCATCTATTTGTTCTTTAATGTACGTGACCAAAGGAATAAAATTATTTCCTTCATACAAAAGATAGGAGCTGGGGAATGCCACTCCGGAGAGCTAGGATGGAGCCAGAGAATGCTGTTCCTGGAGGCCCAGGGATGCTGTGAAGTGCAGAAAGGTTTCCTTAAAGTGAATCATACACGCGGATTTAAGGAACTTCAGTTAATTTGAGGAAGTTCCAGCATATGGCTCAATAAAGTTAGGGAGAGGGAATTTAAAGCATGATTGGTTCAACAAAATTTTGGATGCCAGCTGGGAGAACAAGCGTTACGGTGCTGCTTTTCTCTTTACACAAAACAGCTTCTGGAACTCATTGCCACAGGATATCTTTGCGTCCAAGAGTTCAGCAGGATTTTAAAAAAGGATTTATATGGATAAGAATAGCCACAGTCATATTATCGAACATAAAATCATTGTATTTTGGAAGGACTATTTAACACCCTGAATCAGGAGAGTTTCACAACTATCTGATGGAGGTTAGAATAAACATTCCTTATGGACTTGTTATGCTATAACTGTCCACTTCAGTTTCTTGTGCCTCCTTCTGAAGGGTCTGGTACAGGATAGTGGGCTAGACAGACCACTAATCTGATCTGGCATGCTACTTTGTGTGTGCATAGCCCAGGCAAAGAGAAAGGGGTAACATCCTAATTTCCCAGAGGTTCAAGCAGCTATTGGAACTCGCTCTGGAAGCATTATGTGAAGTGTCCTTAAGATTAAGTTTCAACAGCTTTCCTACCCATTCTACCTCCTCTTAATTGTGCTGCCTGACTCTTACGGTACCCTTTATTCTCTCTGGCAACAAGTTACCTCTTGTTCCTATTATAGCCGGTCACTGTAATATGCATGAATTGGCAACTAGTGTTACCAAGATAAAATAGTTACTGTGGCTTGTGTCTCCAAGACAGCGTTTAGAGCTGATTGACGCTCCAGGGCAGGATAATTAGTGTGGAAGTGCCGTAGGCTCACTGCTGTTCATTTCTTTTGTTTGCAAACAGCCAACTGGAAACTACTTATCCACTTCATCTCTTTCCTCCAAACTGGGACCAATCGGCATTGCCTGACCTAGGGTACAAGGTACTTTGATCTGTTAGCTCTACTCAGGGAGATATCTTTCCTATACTGGTTCTTGTGGAAGGTAGACTACTTAAAATGCAACCCTCAAACTCAAGAGAGGAGGTTCATGTGGTGTTTCCAGTGATATACGCAAGCTGGAAATATACAGTTGGCATGTTTGACATAGACATGTCACTGGGAAGAGAATTAAGACCATCAACTCATTCCACAGGAGTGCATGACTGAACAGCCATCAGATCATAATGACTTTTTGGTCACTACTGATTTGATCTGGACTCTAACTAATGACTTGGAGCATGACGCTCCATAGCTCAATGCAGATTTTTTTTTTAATCCCCAGCAGTATTTTTCTTTAAAAATGAACACACTGAAGAATTTCATAGTGAGGGGAATTCTGAAGATTATCAAGTCATGTAAAAAAATATTATGGAGACACTTACATTGCTTTCCTCATTAAAATGTCTGCCACTATGGTTACAATGCTATTTTAAAATAATTTGCTACAGTAAAGTTAGTATTACTTTTCAAGTGTGAAAAGACCTCTAATAAGTAAGGGTGGGCTCTGGGAAAGTTTGGAGTATAGTACAGCTTGCTTTCTTTTTTGAAATTTGACCAATTTAAAACACACACTTGCATACGCAGGTGAAACATACTCAAAAATGACTAGACCTAAACGGAAAAACTCAAAGAAAATTCATTTTGAGTTGACTCAAACATTTTGATTCAAAACTTGAGAAAAAAATTGGTCTCAATTTGATGAAATAAAAAAAATTGATTTCTTTGGTTCAAATCAAACTCCCCCTCCCCCCTCCTCCCCAGTTTGGGGGCCAAACTGAAAAAAATGAACTATTCACTCAGCTTGAATTGTGAGTGTAGTTGTGGGGTAGTTACATCTCTAATGCAGTGTGATTGGGTGCTTCCTTTTGTGAAAGGCTTGGGGAGTGCTCATTGAAAACACTTTAACATCTTGATTTCTGTTGTGCTTATCGTTTTTAGTTGGTGGAGCTGAGTGACACTACCGGTGAATACAAGGAAGTCAAGGACCTATTTGAGAAGACAATGAAAAATTGTAGAATCTGCAGATTGCAGAGGATTCAGAACCCATCACTTTGGCAAGTTTTCCAGTGGTTTGTATCCATTTTATTTAATTAAAAAATCCCTCAGTCTTCTAGACTGAGCTCAATAAGTTTATGGAGGGGACGGTATGATGGGACTGCCAATGATGGCATGTGGCCCATTGGTGACTGCCAGTAGCAAAAATCCCCAACTGCTGGAGAGAGAACACTAGGTGGGGAGGGCTCTGAGTTACTACAGAGAATTCTTTCCCAGGTATCTGTCTGGTGGGTCTTGCCCACATGCTCAGGGTCTAACTGATTGCCATATTTGGGGTCGGGAAGGAAGTTTCCTCCAGGTCAGATTGGCAGAGACCCTGGGGGGTGTTAACCTTCCTCTGCAGCCTGGGACATGGGTCACTTGCAGGTTTAAACTAGTGTAAATGGTGAATTCTCTGTAACTGGAAGTCTTTAAATCAGGATTTGACGACTTCAGTATCTCAGCCAGAGGTTAGGGGTCTATTTCAGGAGTGGGTGAGGTTCTGTGGCCTGCGTTGTGCAGAAGGTCAGACTAGATGATCACGGGGGTCCCTTCTGACCTTAAAGTCTATGAATCTAACTGGGTGCAGCAGAGTAATCCTGATAATTCTAGAGTTTGTTCTCTCTCATTATAATAATAATATATGGAGATATACCTATCTCATAGAACTGGAAGGGACCCTGAAAGGTCATCAAGTCCAGCCCCCTGCCTTCACTAGCAGGACCAAGTACTGATTTTGTCCCAGATCCCTAAGTGGCCCCCCTCATGGATTGAGCTCACAACCCTGGGTTTAGCAGGCTAATGCTCAAACCACTGAGCTATTTATGTGCTGATGAGTCTCACTAACTAATCAAGAAGAAACTATTCCCCCTAAATACCATAACTGAAGTAGCTCAAGACTGTTTTCCAGGGGTGCTGGAACAATTTGTATAATGGGGGTGCTGAGAGCCATTGAACCAAACTGTAAACCATGTATATGATGGAAACCACTTCAAACCAGGGGGTGAAGTAGCACCTCTAGGTCCAGCACATAGGCTGATTTCTCATGAATGTGCAGTTCTGGGTCCCTTTTATTAAGGCTATGGGTTGGTGAGGTTTTCTACTGAAACTTTGCAAACCGTTCCTAGCTTGATTTAAAATGTGTCTGTAGATCTTCTTGTCAGAATACAGTTTACGTGGCTTTGCAGGATATAAAAAGGATCATGTTCCCATGAGCCCGTTACTTTATGGTTGAATCTTGTGGCTAGATGGGTTTGCATTGACCTAATGGAACTAGAAGTGGGGTTAATAGAAAACACTATGACTTCCTCCATGTGACTTTCCCAAAGAAACATGATTTGATCTTGAAATTCCCTTGTGGTCAGCATCCTAGTGCCCAGAGAGAGAGAGAGAGATCACACTAAGGTTTGATTTTTAGAGGCCACTAGGAAGCGTAGTATTGGTTAGATGCATTTTGTCTCACTTCCTCTCCTTCTTGCTGAAAGCCACAGCATAAATCTGGACAAGGAGTTTCAACTTTAAAAAAACAACAACAACAAAACAACAACAAAACCACTCTGCACTTAGTTATGGATGTGGATCTCCCAATTACATTGATGGGGTTGTATGGGTATATCTGTGGGCAGAATCTGGCCCTTAAACATCAGAACCCTGAGACAGGGGAAGTAACTTGTGCTAAATCTAAACACTTTTGCTCGAAGAGATGTTTCTTTGGAGTACCCTGGCTGAATCAAAGAGAAGCTGCCATGAAGAGGAGAAGGCGGCACAGCAGATGGATCAGGAAGACAAGATTGATCTGGCAAAATCTACCAGCAGCAAATCCTATTGACAGCAGAGTTGGATGATGTGCAAATCTTTCTGGAAAGCACTAATCTGAAATTGCAGAGCTTTCAAGGAAGATTTGAAGCAGTCGAGGTTTGCATTAGTGCTTCAGAGGCTCTTGATCTGCTTATTAACCTGCACATGAACATTAAAGCAGATGTGACCGTTATATTAGGAAAAAAATGAAGATTTGGAGAACAGAAGCTGGTAACCTGCAGCTCTTGGGGAAGGGTGATTGAGGGGGTAGGGAGCACAACTGCAAAAGCATGGGTGCAGCAATGTTCCTATAGGGGAGCAAGGCCACACTTTGCCCTTTAGTCTATTGTCCCTATCCCTGTAAGAGGTGAGTATGTTTGTGTGATGGAGTGGCTGTAGCTTGCTTGCTTCCCCTTATAACCTTGATTTTTTTTTCTCTTTAATTCTCCCATCTCCTCACACCAGAATGAACCCATCTTCCTGAAATATTGCATGTTATACTATCATTCCAGGGACAAGTTTCTTGGTTTAAAAAAGAAAAACAAAAATCAGTGATGGTGTTTTGAAAACTTACCTGAAGTTCACTTGGGAGTTTCTCTCTATTTTGGGAGATAGGGTTGGGATTCAGAATCTCTCCAAAACAGTTTCTTAGAAACACCAACTGCATTTGATTTTGATGGCTTTGCTGAGAAGGCTGTTTTGTGGTGTTTGGGGTGGAGGAGGAGAGAAGGAGAAAGAAGGGGATGATTAAGGAGAACAAGTTAGCTATGTAACAAACTGCGTTTGCTTCCCCACTCTAATGTAGGCAGAACAAAAATGAACTAAGGGTTCATCAAGCCAGGGCAGGGCTCAGCAGAATGCTGTGGTAGGGTCCCTAAAGGGAAAAGGAAGTGCTTGCTTGCCCCGGTCATGTCATGGGAAGCAAGGAGGAATAAGGAAACTGAAAGGCTATATTTTACTTATGTTCACAAGTTAAGGACTACCTGGGTATTTCCCTGCCTGAAGCTCTAAGTTATCTGCTGTCTGGGATTGAGGGTTGAAAGTTTTAGGGGAAAAGTTAAGTTTGTGTGGGCACAGTAAGTTGGATGGGGTTAGAGATGAATGATAAAGGATTAAAAGGCTGAGAACTGACTCAAGTGTCAGAGTGGTAGCCGTGTTAGTCTGTATCCACAAAAACAACAAGGAGTCTGGTGGCACCTTAAAGACTGAGGCTAGGTCTACACTACCCGCCTGAATCGGCGGGTAGAAATCGACCTCTCGGGGATCGATTTATCGCGTCCCGTTGGGACGCGACAATCGATCCCCGAATCGACGCTCTTACTCCACCAGTGGAGGTGGGAGTAAGCGCCGTCGACAGAAAGCCGCAGAAGTCGATTTTGCCGCCGTCCTCACAGTGGGGTAAGTCGGCTGCGATACATCGAATTCAGCTACGCTATTCACGTAGCTGAATTTGCGTATCTTAAATCGACTCCCCCCTGTAGTGTAGATGTACCCTAAGATTTATTTGGGCATAAGCTTTTGTGGGTAAAAAACCCCACTTCTTCAGATGTTTTTTACCCACAAAAGCTTATGCCCAAATAAATCTGTTAGTCTTTAAGGTGCCACCGGACTCCTCGTTGTTTTTGAGAAATGACTGGATCCCTTAACTGTTCATTGCCAGATGTTCTAACTTTCAAGCCTTTGAAAGATACATCTGTAAAATTTTGTATTTTTGGATGTTAGCTGGACTACACCAAAAAACATAATTGGCTTTAACAAAGCTTCTTGCTCATTAATATACTTATCGGGCATGTGCCTGAGCTATGAAGTCCCAATTTGGATTCAGAACCAAATCTTAAACATTCCCTAAGTTTAGGGTGTTCAGGGCTCAACTAACCATATGCAAATAAGTAAACTGCTGAATTCAGATCTGAATCCAGATCACAAACTAAACATCCACCACCAAACTCTGGGAATTGGGGGGCCGAGGATGTTTATGGGGGTGCAGATGCAGTGTTCCAGTTTAGGCCTCAACCTGGCATGTGCAAGAGTTTAAGATGGAGGGGGGCAAGGAGAGGTGGGGGGGGGGGAAGGAACTGTTGCAGGTTTTTAAACAGACATACATGGATTTCTGCTGGCTAATTTTATGTGATCAGCAAATAAAAGCTGTCTGAAAAGACAGCAAATCCTTTCTTATGCTAAAATACTCATTCTAGAACAGTAAAACTGATCCAGAAGTGGGCTCTAAATTCCTTCCCATGGCTCATTGGACCTGAGAACTTAATTAAGATTGCATTGTACCCATTCATCAGTACTGGTTAGGATTCCAGAAGCGACCACCTCAGGCGGAAAAAGTTAGAGGAAAGCAGAAAAGTTAGGATTTCAAATAGCTGGATGGAGAATGAGAAGAGCTACAAAAACAGAGGCTATTGTGTTTCTAGCTAGCAAGTCAAACGTGGAAAACCCCCCAGCAATCCTTGATATGCCATGTGAAAAGTTTGAAGATAACTCAAGTGAGACAGTTATACTTTCCTCACTCATTTGAGTGCCACTCTAATCAGATATAGGGCACAGCTACACTACTGCTTAAGTCGATCCCTGAGCAATGTATGTTAGGTGTGACCTCCCTCCTCCACCGAGCAACACAAGTTTCATGCTGTCCACGCTGACGCTATGTCAGCAGGAGGCACTCTCCTGCCAATATAGCTTATGCTTCTCGCCAAGGTAGAATAATTATGCAGACGGGAGAGCGCTCTCCCATCAGCATAGCACATGTTCACCAGATGCACTACAGCAGCAGAGCTGCATCGGTGCAGCTGCACCAATGTAGCGCTGTAGTGTAGACTTGCCCATAGAGTGGGGTATTAGAACTTCTTTGGGACTGGAACTGTCTTCCTGCATGTGTATGTACATTGACTAGTGCATTTTCGGAGCTACCATAGTGTAACTAACAAAAAGGAAGGATCTCTACTAGTGTGAAGCTATGTGCGTGTGATACGACTGTTCCTTTAATATGCGCCATGCCAAGCTAAAGGGACTTTTTAGCCAGGAGGGACCATTGTCATCCTCTAGTCTGACATTCTGTAGAACTTCAGGTGATAGGACCCCCCCAAAATAATTCCCATTTGAACTAGAGCATATCTTGTTTTTTTTTTTTTTTAAATCCAATCTTGATCTAAAAATGACCAGTGATGGAAAATCCACCACAACACTTGCTACAGTGTTCCAAAGGCTAAACACCCTCGCCGTTAAATTTACACCTCATCTCCAGTCTGAATTTGTCTAGCTTTGACTTCCAGCCGTTGGATCCTGTAATACCTTTCTCCACTAGATTGAAGAGCTGATTATCACATTTTTTCTCCCCCATGTAGGTACTCATAGATTGTAGTAAAGTCAAGTCACCCATTAAGCTTCTCTTGGGAAACTAAGTAGACTGAGCTCCTTGAACCTATCACTATAAGGGCATGTTTTCTAATCTTTTAATCATTCTTGTGGCTCTTCTCTGAACCCCCTCCAATTAATCCACATCCTTCTTGAATTCTGGACACCAGAAGTGGATACAGTATTCCAGCAGTGGTCACTCCAATGTCAGATAGAGGTAACATGACTTCTCTACTCTTACTGGAGATTCCCTGGTTTATTCAGCCAAAGATTGCATTAAACTTTTTGGCCACATCATTGAACTTTGAACTCCTGTTTAGCTGATTATCCATCATGACCCTCAAATCTTTTTCATAGTCACTGCTTCCCAGGATACAGTCCCCATTCTGTAAGTATGGCCTACAATCTTTGTTCCTAGATGTATTCATTTACATTTAGCTGAATTAAAATGCATACTGTTTGCTTGCGCCCAGCTCACCAAGTTATCCAGATTGCTCTGAATCAGTGCTCTGTATCAGTCCTCTTCATCATTTAGCACTCCCCCAAACTTTATTTGTGAACTTTGTCAGAAATGATGTTATGTTTTTTTCCAGATCACTGATAAAAATGTTAACTAGCAAAGGGCTCTGATCAGTTTCCCTGAGAGATCCCACTAAAAATGTACCTCCTTGAGGATTCCCTGTTTACAATTACATTTAGAGACCTCCCAGTTAGTCAGCTTTTAATCCATGTAGTATCTGCCATGTTAGCTTTGTATCATTCTAGTTTGTTGCTATATGCCACATAGCTG